TTAATATAAATATTTGTGATAATCAGTCATAGTTTGTGTAATTTTTATAAAATAATTTGGTGAAAATTTGTTAACAATGTTAACATAAAGGAATAATGGTCCACAAAAATTAAAGTCATCAACATTATAACCAAAAACTTAAATAAATCTTTTTAGATAAGTATTTCTTTAAAGTGACTCTGTATAAAGCAAAATAAAGGAAAAAAAGAAATTTGTAAACAGAATAGAAATTCTTGGTAAGCCTAATATATTTCACTGAAATAAGCTTTGTACAAATAAATAACATTTAAATTTTTTAATATAATCAACAATGCAAAGTATGAATTTATTGTATAGATTTATCAAAATTTCTTCCTTTGCCTTTTCCTTGAATGAGTTTACTGGACGTTCAATAACAGATAGTTTATTTTGCCATATATGTGATATGCTAAGCTCATATAAATCAAAAGTACAGAAAGGAAATCATTTAAAATATTTTGTAGACAATTTAGGTTTAGACTTTTTCTGTTAATCCTGCTGTAACACCCTTCTCTTTTGTTCTAAACATCAGCTTGTCAGTTTTTGAACAAGTAATATTCATTAAAAAAATGCTATTTTTAGAGTGTGTGCATTAACACTTTAGCTATTTTCATTCTCCTTACTAAAACTTTCATAGTTAGTTCCTCGACGTTAATTGTCTGATTATGTTTATTTTAGAATACCATTCTAATCATATTTGAAATATCTGCCACTGTTTAATAAGAATAAGAATGTGTCCATAGTACATGGATGCCCCGCTTGCACTATCATTTTCTATGTTCGGTGGACTGTGAAATTGGGGTCAAAACTCTAATTTGGCATTAAAATTAGAAAGATCATATCATAGGGAACATGTGTACTAAGTTTCAAGTTACTTGGACTTCAACTTCATTAAAAACTACCTTGACCAAAAACTTTAACCTAAAGCGGGACAGACTGACGAACGGACGGACGGACGGACAGACAGAGGTAAAACAGTATACCCCCACTTTTTTAAAGCGGGGGTATAATTAATTTGAGTCAAGGTGTTTGGTACCACCTTAAGCTCTACAAACTATTCAGAGCATAATAACACCTATTAGTTGGTTTCCCATAGAAAATCATGGACTGTACCATTTTCCAAATAGGGACATACTCTCATACCCATACCCGTCAACATCTGAAACTGAAAACGCAGGTCATGAGCTGCATTGAAGAAGAAAATGTCAGGTCATAACGCATACACACTTTTTTTTCGGTTCAATTTTAGAGTTTTTTTTATATACTACAACATATACATGTACCACTGAGATTCCTACAAATATTCAATTTTGTATTTGTTAATTATCTTAATATTTATCATTAATTAATTATCTTTCTATAGCAATGCCCTCTTATTAATTTTTTCACACTACTTTTTATTAATGAATGTCATAAACCCCAACTATACATGTACATGTAAGTAGAAATCAATTATAGCTAATGTGCTCCTATATACAGGAGGAAGATAAATAGAAAGAAGAAAGTGTGTTTCCTTTCAGTGCAATATCTAGAGCATATGGATATGATTAAAAGCTTTTACATTTAAGCAATAATAAAATTATTCTCTCCAACAGAAATGTATTAAAAGGTTCAATCTGTTTTATAATGATTTTTATAGGATAATTGATATTTGCAAACGGCAAATCTTTTAAACAGGACATAGAATTGTATGTAAAGCTTGACTGGCTTCAACTTTCTGGGGTACAATTAACGAGACAATTCTCAAATTGTTACTTTTCAATCAAATGTAATGTTTTGATAGCTGTCTTCGGTAGGGTAAATAAGCAAATCGTAAGTTTTGACTTTTCAATTGTTTACCTCTTCAAGGGAAAAAAGCCGATAAAACCGAATGTATATTTGACTTAAATACTGGAAACAATACCAGTCAGAAATACAGATGAAAACAGGTCATTTTCTGAAATCCTGGGTTATTTGAATACCCAGCGGGTATTTAAAAAATCCTGTGTGAAAGGGGAAATTCACGGGTGTAACCCGCAGAATAATTAAGGGTCAGTTAACAGGTATGCACACCTACACTTCTTACTAAACTATTGATTGTTTTCCTTTAAGCCCTTTTAAAAGATTGTTAAAATATATAACAGTCTTAAAACAGTTTTTGTGGCAGCAGGCATGTAAATTTTGTTAGCCTATCACTAATACACCTAGTATTTCTTATGCTAATTAAACAAAACCTATTGGCATTACAGCTTGAATGTAATATTAACTTTCAATTCAATTTTTCTTAAACTTTATGACACTCAACGGCCAAGTGGTCTTAGTAGTCAATCTACAGGGATCACTAGCCGTCAATTCAGAAGTTGTAAGTTTATACCCTGCTTCTAGCAAGGTGTGTTTCACTTCTATCTTAATTGACCTGTCAAAGGTCACTGGTTCTCTCTGGGTACCCCAGATTCCTCCAACAATAAGATCTGGCTGACATAATATGAGCGTCTGAAAGGGGCGTTATACATTTCTGAATTCTTTTATTTTTGGGTCAATTTTCTCTATTCTCTATTTTTTAGGAATAATACCACTATTGATTTTCCCCCATTAGTCTTTGTTAAATTGGCAATTTTCAAACAATTGTGCAGAATTTATCTATGTTTTAAATAAAGAAATAATTGGCATGAGTAAAGTTTTATCCTGTCCAGTACTAAAGTGAAAATTTCACATAACATTTCATTGCATATAAGATAATAACCATCACCGGAAGTAAACCAATCAAATTTCCACCCTTTTTATCCCTGTTAACAAGCTTTAGTAACCATGTCACCTAAAGTTTCCAAAATATCTTTATTACTACATGAAGAGATTTGAAATTGGGTGTCGCCATTTCTTCTTTCACACAAAATCCATGAATATTGTTTTATACCACAAAGGGGTTATGACCATCGTAGTTAATTATGTGTTAATTTCAAGATCTTTTGGGGGGTGGGGGGTGTATTTGGGGGTTAAAATTGGAAAAAATCCAGTTCGGATCGACCATCCTTCACGACGTTCGGCTCTGAAATTTACGTGCCGTCATCATTTCTGTCAATGCACATCTGCCCAGCAAAATTAAATTTTATTTCGTAGCAGATACGGTAAATATTGACCTTACACTGAAACACTTTGTGATACACATTCCCTTGACGCTCTCAGCAATTTAACAACAGATTTTTACACGTCAAGAGCTTTTCCTTCCGGGGAACCGCATCAATTCAACATGAAAAGGGTGGGGGGGATTACTTCAGTTTTTGGTTAAAAATGGGAACCAAAGTGCGGCTGGAATGTGAACAACCCCCATTCATTTATTAATGCATAAAATTTTCAGCCCACTCATATATGGGGGTGGTTCTGAGCACGGAAACACCAGAAATCAGGTGCGGATCCAGGATCTAATGTTAGGGGGGGTGCAAAAAATATTGTTCTGCGGAACGGAGCATGTTGCGAAATATTTTTGGGTAAATTAGCAAAAATTTACGTGCCGTCATCATTTCCACTTTGTCTGCAAGTATTATGGTCTGCTGAGCAAAAAGTATATCCTAAAGGGTGGGGGGATTACTTCGGTTTTCGGTTAAAATGGGTACAGAAGTGCGACTGGAATGTGACCCCCCATTCATATATTAATACATAAAATTTTCAGCCCACTCATATATGGGGGTGGTTCTGAGCACGAAAACACCTGAAATCAGATGCGGATTGACTGTCATGCGCACCTGGATTTTTTATTATTCAATGTTTTCCCTATGTGTCTAGTACACAAAATTTATTTCCAAAATTTTTTGGGGGATTGGCAAAACTGCTAGAAGTGCTAGACAGATTATTTTTTTTTACCAAATCAGGGTCAGGATATTTTTTGTAACAAATCCCAGTCAGTTTTCACTCTATATGTCACCAATTAAAGGTATTTATAAACACATATTATTTTGATCAGTGCAATGCATCCAGGGTATAACAATGACATATCCTATGATTAGATCAAAAAGGCCAATAGTTTCTGTCTGGAAGACTATTCTTTTGGGTGTCATATTGAGTGGTAGTATTTCGTCTGTGACACGCTTCAAAAAGATTTAAGATCTTAATATCGCCTTACACCAAAACTATATATCTTCAAATTATGAACCAAAGTATATTTCACAGGTATTTTCTAGTTTTATAGAAACAGCAAATAAAAAAGAATGGTGCTTTGAAACACCAAAGATACATGTTTATGACTCAGACATATTTTTCTGCAATGAAATGCAGGGTTAATTTCCTACAACTGTCAAATTCAAGGGAATATTTTTTTTCTACCCTTTTTTCGTATGAAACCGGATGTGACATACTATGATTTGCTGGTATGACACCTTTAACACCCCATCATTTCCTATTGTTTAATTTTTTGGCCTATTTTTCTCTATTCTTTGTATATTTGGTTCATTTTTCTATAGTTTGGTCCATTATTCTCTATTCAGTAAACCCCATTCAGACTTTAATGATATAGCCAAGTTTGCTGAAAAGGCATTTATATGTCCTTTGATTGAGTTAAGCTATTTCAGTTGATATTTTATAGTGTGTCTTTCTATGTTGTGATGTTACACTATTGTTTCAGAAAAAGGGTAAAGGTTTGGTACTATTAAAACGTTTAAACCCGCTGCATTTGTTTGCACCTGTCCTAAGTCAGGAATCTGATGTTCAGTAGTTGTCGTTTGTTGATGTGTTTCATAAATGTTTCTCGTTTCTCATTTTTCATATAGATTAGACCGTTGGTTTTCCCGTTTGAATGGTTTTACAATAGTAATTGTTGGGGCCCTTTATAGCTTGCTGTTCGGTGTGAGCCATGGCTCCGTGTTGAAGACTGTATTTTGACTTATAATGGTTTACTTTTATAAATTTTGACTTGGATGGAGAGTTGTCTCATTGGCACTCATACCACATCTTCTTATATCTATTTAAAACACAAACAAATAAACAAACTAACAAACTATCAAAACCCTTACCTTTCCTTTCTTGGAATGGAGTCCAAAACATAATCGGCTCATTTGAGGAAGATCCTGTACTTTAATGTCAAAGTTTATACAGTCATTAAAGCTACACAATCCATCTTGTGAAACTGAGACTTCTTTGGTTTCTTGTATACTACACAAAGGATCAGGTCCATGGAACACTCCTACACACAGACGTACCTGTCAATATAATATCGACAATATTACATTTTTCTTTTTCACTAAAACTTTTACAATGAATAATTTCTTATAAACATAGATAATTTTAAATGTTTGTTCTAAGTTATTTGAGTTTAGGCTAACGCCTTTAATGTTTATTATTCACTGATAACAAATAGGATGACGATATAGTCCAATATTTTCCGGGATATTAGAAATTATTGTTGGAGGTTTTTAAAGAGTGTTTAAAAGTAGGTATTATATTGTGCAAACTGAGAGTGTAACATATCAATATACAATATATGTACATTGCGGGAAAATATAATTTAAAATATAAATATAAAAATTTACTTGTATGAGCTTTAGAAACAGGACGAAAAGAGAAGCTCGCCAAGCTTTTCTCCTGTTTCGTAGAAAGTCATATTTCTGTATCAAGTTTTATTTCAAACAATGGACATTTATTGTTTTTTATCCAGCAATTTACACCTTGCACTTAAAGGTTAAATTGTTTAAATCCAAATAGTTGTCTCTGATTATTCCAAGAAATCGACATACTTAAACGCAAAGAGGACTGCAAAATGAACTGTCACACAAAAAAAAATATTCACATTATTATTTGCTCAATATTGAAGTGTAATAACAGGAGACTTTATATTTGTAAAAGTACAAATAAAGCAAAAAATTATTTGTGTACATGTTATTTGTACAATAGTTGGCTGATTGCAGGATAATAATGTTTATTGATGCATGCCTATTTGGTAATCATTTTTTTTTTTAAACAACACACAGGATTTTTTTACATGTCTTATCATAATATTAACACTGAAATGTGCCCAAAAAATATTTGAGATCCCTTTCAACAGATGGCACTATACCTGAAAGACAAAACAATGTCATCCATATGATCCAATATGTTATGGAAAGAATTTAGTCTGTTTGGTTCATTTCTGTAGCTGTACTACTATTTACAGCAGGCCATTTTAGAATTTTAGAATTAACCTTGAGGAGAAACACAACTAATTCATTGTCCCATTACTTTCTATGTTAAATCTCTCAAATTTAAGCAGACACAGCTCTTTTGTCTTAAGTGACAATCATTACACGTCAAAGTAACACTTTATGATGTCTTGTACTGAAAAAATCAACATACCTTTAATTGCATATAAGAGAGTATAGGTTCCCAGAACTTGGGAAGTACCAAAACAGGTACTTCAGATCTGAGAAACAGGGAAAATATACCCTCCTTTTTAAACTTCATACTACATGTATTATTTTGCTATCAAAATTATAAGTCAAAAAGGTTTCTACAATGATCACCAGTCATTCAGCTTTCATTTGATACAAAAACAAGTGAAACTGTGAGCTACTGCTCACTGATGATACCCCCAGCCCAAATATTTGACGGTAAACAGGAAGTTGTTGAGTGATTAATCTGAAAACGCATCACACGGTATAGCTGACTTATATAAACCCTGAAACCAAATTTCAGAAATCCTTGTCAAGTAGTTCCTGAGAAAAATGTGACAAAAATTTTCAACTTGGCTATCATGTGTAAAATAATACAAGTGTTCGGTAAACAGGAAGTTGTTGAGTGATGAATCTGAAAACGCATCACATGGTGTAACTTACTTATATAAAACCTGAAACCAAATTTCAGAAATCCTTGTCAAGTAGTTCCTGAGAAAAATGCGACGAAAATATTTATGGGACGGACGGACTGACAGATGGTGGTGTTACAACTTGAGAATGAATAAATCCCATCAAAATTTAATGTATTGAACACTTAACAACCAACTCACTAAATTTCTGCAGTTTTCAGGAACTTGAACATTGCATGCTGTGTGTAAGGTTATATAAAAGTTATTGTGTATGTCCCACACACAATGTCCACTTCTCTTCTCTGATCGCACAGTATTTCTTCTTTCTTCCTGGAAAGAGGTTCTGGAAGATTTGTGTGGTTGTGACACCTCTTGTTTTTCTATAATAACAAAAAAGTATTTTTGAGCAACTTATGTTATAAATATTGTATTAATTTATAAACACTATTAAAACAAGGTAAAACAAGTGGTTGTCGAAATGACAGAATACTGGGTTCTTATTACATTTTCAAAGTGTCATTTTTATAGCAATGAAGGGCCATAACTTCTGAATATTTTCATCCATACTTTAAAGTGTGAAAAGCATAAAGATAAATGAGTCATAGACTTCATATTTTAGTAAAATCATATTTTTAAAACTTGCCTAAGACAGATGATTTAGTCTTCAGCCAAAATTCTGGTGCTGTGTTTTTCACAATACAGGAATAAACATACTGAAAAGAAGAGACACAAGTTAATTTCAAAATAAAACCTTTAAACACCAAAGAAAATATTAAGGTATCCTTTACTAAAAATCTATTATGTAATTAACATATCAATTATAGAATGTATTTTTAAAAGTTTAAAAAAAAAATACAACATATATATTACAACAAATCACAACATATGTCTATTAAAATCACTCTTTATTTAAAAGTATTTTAATTGGCTTTTTTTTTTGTGAGGTTACAACAATAACCTAGAGAACTGATGTGAAATATGACATTCTAATATGACTTGCTGAAATTTCCATACATCTATATTTAGTGTAGACTCACAGATATACATAATAATGGTTGTTTCAGTTTACCTCCCATGTAAATCCACATGTATCGTAACCTATGTGCAAATATTAGGTCCATTTTACTGTGTTAAAACTCTCAAAGCTCCAAATACAGATATTATCCCATTAAATTCCTATATTTTTGCATTATTTGCACATTAATGGATTTTAGCAAGTCAATAAGACGGCTCACTCATTATAGTTACCACATGTCAACATGTGAATTTGATGTATAATAAAATGCTCCGCTGGGGCTCAGCTTAATACGACCGCAGAGGTCAAACCCTGAACAGTTGGGGCAAGTATGGACACAACATTCAAGCTTGATACAGCACTGAATTTGAATTGTAATTAAATATTTGACACAGCATAGGTTTCTGACACAGAATGAATGTGGTCTAAGAACTTAAAAATTCTTAATTTACCTATTCGCACCATATCATTATTATTTGCTTTTATATATAAATCAGAAATAACCAATTTAAAATGGAAAATTTTAAAGAAAAAAAAAGGAAAAAAAAATCCCCCCCCCCCAATTTTTTGAACCCCCTTATGATTCATCACCCCAAAACTCAATCCCAGCCTTCCCTTTGTGGTATGGTACATTGCAGTACAATTTCAGAGAGATCCATACACTTGAACACAAGTTATTGTCTGGAAACTAGAAAAATGCTTGTTTTTTTTGGCCCGGCCCTTTTTGGCCCCAAATTCCTAAACGTTTAGGGCAATTACCCCCAAACTCAAACTCAGCTTTCCCCTTGTGATATGGATCCTTGTAGTACAATTTCATAAAGATCCATACACTTACACACAAGTTATTGTCCTGAAACTAGAAAAATGCTTGTTTTTTTGCCCCTTTATGGCCCCTTATTCCTTAAATTTTGAGGGAATTACCCCCAAAATCAATCCCAGCCTTCCCTTTGTGGTATGGTACCTTGCAGTACAATTTCAGAGATATCCATACACTTAAACACAAGTTATTGTCTGGAAACTAGAAAAATGTTTATTTTTGGCCCCTTATTCCTAAACGTTTTGGGCAATTACCCCCAAACTCAATTCCAGGTTTCCCTCTGCAATACGGAACCTTGTAGTACAATTTCAGAAAGATCCATACACTTACACACAAGTTATTGTCATGAAACTAGAAAAATGCTTGGTTTTTTTACCCTTTTTTGGCCCCTAATTCCTAAAATTTTGAGGCAATTACCCCCAAAATCAATCCCAGCATCCCCTGTGTGATATGAAACCTTGTAGTACAATGTCAGAGAGATCCATACATTAACACACAAGTTATGTCTGGAAGTTACAAAAATGCTTACTTTTGGCCCCTTTTTGGCCCCAAATTCCTTAACTGTTGGTACCATAACCCCCAAAATCAATCCCAACCTTTCTTTTGTGGTATTGAACCTTATGGTAAAATTTCATAGAGATACATTTACTTAAACTAAAGTTAGAGTGCGAAAACCAATGTGTCAATGACGCCAATTTTTGCGGTCGTATTAAAATCAGTTGAAAAAGGCTTAACTTACTGATGGTACATTTTGTAACCAAAAAAATTGTAAATTAAATATTAAAATGTTTGGGTTAAGAATTATGAGGAACAAGCATTCTGAGAGTATTGCATGGCAATACATAGTCCCCTACCGGTTAAAAATTCATTGTAATGGAAAGAAATTCCAACTTGATCTATATCTTGTCATGGTGAATTTAACTACATAAAAATATCAAGTCAATATCTTCAATCATGACGAATAAAACTGTTGAAAACTGATTATTTAAGTGAATTTTTTATGTCCAAAGACCATAACTCTGCACAAAATCATCAGACCGGAACAAAATTCGAACTTGATCTGTAACTTGTCATGATTAAACTACATACTAATTATCAAATCAGTATCTTCAAGAATGACAAACAAAAGTGTGGAAAACTGATTATTTTAGTGAATTTACACATGGCCTGGGCGATGATATTCGTTAATTATATCCCTCGCTAACACTCAGGATCAATTTGGATATCATGGTCGAGGCCATGTGAAAATTTCCAACAAATCTATGGCTTCCATGAATTATTTCTTAAAGGAAATATATCCTTTATCAAAAATAGATTATTATCTAAATAAAAGAGTTCACTTCATCCAAACAAATTTTTAATATATAGCATTCAGAAAATTAGTTTATACAGAATCAATAACAAACAAACCTACCACTAAATTCTTCAAACAATTTCCCAAAGAAAAGGGAACAAATCCAAAATGTCATTTATCATTAATAAAAGTATCTTTTAAAAATCTTTTAAGTACTTTGTCAAAAATTTAATTCTAGGGAAAGGGCTTTAACTGAACAAGGAGAAAAGCTAAAATTGTGAAAATTGAACTTGACCTGTAACTTGTCATGATAAAACTATACACCAAATATCAAATAAATATCTTCAAGCATGAAGAAAAAAAGTCTGGAAAACTGATTTGCTGGACTGACAGATTGTCAGACAGACAAACAGATGGACGGAGTGCAAACCTAAAGTCCCCTTCGACTTCGTCGGTAGGGGACTAATAAGCAAATTTTTTGTTATTAATTTTTAGCTTTATCTTAAGGGGTAAAAGAGAACATCCACACAAAGGGCACACTTATCTTCCCTTTGGTTTTTAAATTACTGTATTTGTCTTATTAGAATGAAATAATTCATGCAAGCCATATATTTGTTATCATTTTCACATAGGCGGGCATTTATATTCCTTATTTTTATCCCTCACTGATGCTTTGGACAAAATTAGAATATAATGACCCAGGTAGGAAGCTGATGAGTGATGGATGGTAAATAAAACAGTAGAGCATGCTCACAATAAGATTGATTTCAAATTTTAGAAAGCCTTGATTTGTAGTTCCTGGGGAAAATGTGACCAAAATGTTATGAGATGAAGGTTGGAAGTAGAATGTAAATTTGCAGTTAAACTCTGCAAGACAACTTTGATATAACTAGCTAGAAAAGTTCACTTTCTAACCATGATTTCATGTTTAATTTTACTTATGGATTCAAAGCCCTAACTGGGGTACAACATAAGCTCTTCCTTAGCAGAGGGTCTGGATGGGGTTTACATAGATGCCAACCCCCTTTGGGTGCAATCAGTAAAAAGGCATAAAAATATCCATAATTTGTGTCTTTTTCCAGTTATATTTACGTAAAATCTTATAATAATCATATGAACAACTGGGCACACAGTGATATGATTGATTGAATATTGGTTGCTTAATGTCCAGAGGCAAATATTTCATGCATGTTCAGGAAGAGAACAAATGAACAATAAATACAAAAGGTAGATCCTTTAATAGAGTTCGTCCAGGATGAGGGTCGGGAAAATTTACACTGTCACTGGTAAATGAGAGTATATGGGATATGGGACAGAAATTTAGCATTACAACAGGCCACCTACGGACCTATCAAAGAGTTGTTTCAAGGATTCTTAACGTACAGAGTGTGTAGCGCTCTTTCTTCAAGAGGCATATGAATTAATGTCCCCATTCCAACCAGACGTGGCTGCGTACTTGTACATCCTCCACAGCCAAACGGATGCCCCACTTTGGCAAAAGTATTACTGCCTATTGGAAGAAAACCTGTAGTGACCATATTTCTATTCTTCAGTCACCCTTTTGGGTGGCACTCGGTGACAAAATGATTTCCTTTATTTATCAGAACTACAATTCAAAGTTGATGAGCAAATGAGGAACACTGACCATCACGCTAAATGGAAATATTTTTCATTATATATGCAAAAGGCATAATGGTCCAGATTTTAAGTTTCCTTCTTTGCTTCAGAAATTTAAATTGTTCCTCCAGACATTGAAAATTGAAAACAAAGACTTGTTTCGTTCATTAATTATTCAGAATTGTACAAGAAATAGAGAGATCGTTTTATACTGGCAGTCCTGATTGATTGTTGGTTGCTTAACGTTGAGTGGCATATATTTCATGCATGTTCAGAACCAGAACAAGTAAACAATAAATTCAATAAGGAGGTCTTACAATAAAGGATGTCTGGGATGAAGGTCGGGAAAAATTCAGACTATCACTACCACAGGAAAATGAGAGTATATTGGATAGAGACAGAAATTTAGCCTTGCAACAGGCCACCTACAGACCCCTCAAAGAGTTGTTGCAAGGGTTCTTAACGTGCAAAGAGTGTGGCAACCCTCTCTACACGAGGCATTGGATTTAACGTCATCATTCTGACTGGATGTGGCTGCGTACTTGATACATCCTGCACAGCCAAACGGACACCCCACTTTGGTGAGGGTTCTACTGCTGGTTGGAGGAAGACCAGTGGTGACCATATTTCTATTCCCCAGTCACCCTTGGTAGGTGTGTGTGGGGGGGGGTAGTCCAGTGAAACCCAAAGAAAAATAACAGTCCGAACCATTCAAGCGCTTAATGTTACACAATTCTAATAAAAAATGAAGCTTCACAATTATCAATAAATTGCTTTGCCGAGCACAGCTGGATATGACCGCAGAGGTCCAACCCTGAACAGTTGGGGCAAAAATGGACACAATATTCGCACTTGATACAGGTCTGAATTTGGATTGTAATTAAATATTTGACACATAATAGGTTTCTGACACAGAATATCTGTAGTCAAAGAACTTAGAATTGGTTATATGATTTGAATTTATATTCAATTTTTTGTTTTTGTGCAATACACTATGCTGTTGCGAATTGACCCTCTCCCAAAAAAACAAAAAGAAATTTACCCCCCCCCCCCCTTTTTTTGCAATTTCTATTTAACACACCCCCCCCCCCCCCCCCCCCCCTCCCCAATTATTTTTTTCACCTCCCCCCTTTTTTCCAAAAAAAAATTCTTTCCCTCAAGATATGGTCATAATCTCAATTCAAATTTCCAATGGAGTTTGCAACCATAGTTACCCATTTAAATACATCATAAAAGTCTTAAAATAGAAAATGACATACATAATCATGGCTAAAATTAATATACAGCATAATAGTAATTTCTAAAAATAAATTGACAGTTAATCACCTCAAGACAATACAACATTTCTTTATACATAATTTAACCCTTTCAATGCTACACAAAAAAATAGAAAAATGGCTGCTGTTGCTGCATTTTTTTTGTGCTCATTTATTAGAACAGTATATTCCTTTTCAGACTGTTGTATCTTTTTTATTTTTAGAGATACAAAGTTAATGCATGAAAAATGCTCAGGAGAGCATGAACTGTAATGTTATGCAATTGTTTTAGTAAAATTTTCATCGCGCTACCTACATTTTCAGGTAATTAACAGGTAAAAGCCTAAAAGGTGTAAATTATTGTATTTGTATTGAATTTTGAAAAAAAAAATCTTCATTTATTTTGTTGTTTTATCTGCAATATAATAAAGAAGACACCTGCTGCTTGATTCCGTAGCGTATTTGCACCATGCACAACATATAATGTAAACGTGGCGCAAATAAGTGGCTCCGTCCGCAAATTTTCAGTCAACCTCCGTTTCCTCCCCTTTTTCTATGTCTCGTAAAGATCGACCAATATATATTTTCCACACGAATTGAATGTAATTAACACATTGAGATAACAGGAAATCTTTCAACTATTCCTCGTTGTCATTTTCGCCATAGAAATGCTGAAATATTTCCATATTTACAGCGTCTTTTTCGATTTCCGCCATTTGCATTTGTCAAAATATTTTTCTTTATTTTTCTTCTACTGCATGCTTTTACCATTAAAATTCCTGCGATTTCAAGCGCAAACAGGACCTTGTATATCCTCGATTCATACGGGGAAAAATTAGAGAGGATCCGAATGAAAACCGCAACATATGACGCAAACAGCAGTGGCGGGCGGTGTACGTCATCGCGGCATATGCCGTGTATAGCGTTGAAAGGGTTAGAAGCAGTGTAAGGGAGGTAATCCAAACATAACATTGTACTTTTTTTTAATTGTCCATTAACCAGGAAACCCTTGTTTATCCCCCTTTTTGCCCCTAATTCCTAAACGGTTTGAGCCATAACCGCCAAAGCCAATCTTAACCATCCCTTTGTGGTATGGAAACTTGTGGTATAATTTCAGAGAGATCCATACACTGTTCCACAAGTTATTTCTGGAAACTAGAAAAATGCTTATTTGGGCCCCTTTTTGGCCCCTAATTCCTAACCTGATAGGACTATACCCAACCTTCCTTTTGTGGTAATAAACCTTGTGTTTAAATTTCATAGATTTCTATTTACATTTACTAAAGTTATTGTCCGGAAACCAAATGTCTTCGGACGACACTGACGACGACGTGATACCGATAAACGACCGCAAAATTTTTTGCGGTTGTACAAAAATGATTTATAAACGGAGAACTGATCTGGACAGGTAATAAACGTAAATCCATAACAAATAGACAGTTAATCGTAACACCGTAATTTTGGTCCAAAATTCGTAACAATTACCGGAAAATCGTAATGGTTGGCATCTATGGGTTTACAGAATAGAGAATAATGGGCAAAATGTGTAGAAACAAGGCCAACAAAAATAAAGAATAGAGAAAAATGGACTAAAAAAATAAAGAATAGAGAATAATGGGGTGTTCAAATATAAAAAATAGAGAATAATGGTCAAAATAAATAAAGAATAGATAAAAATGGTATAAAAATTTAAAGAATACAGAAATGAAGGACCCCCATCCAAACCCTCGTAGGAGGGGAAAGTGTTATTTCCTGTGACAGAGCTTGCACACAATACTCCAAGTAATGCAGTTCTAATGGTATTGATAACCAGATATTTAATGTCATTTCTGATATGCTAGGTCGATGATTTAGCAAATTATATATTTAAAAATTAAATGTTTCTTTTTGTAATTTTATTTGGGTGTAAAAGCATTGATTGAAGCAAATTTTATATGAAACACTTATTAAAAATGTGTGCACGATTCTCACTTACATAACCCAAAAGAATTACAAAAAGAAGCATTCAATTCATTTATTTACATTTTTATGCTACAACCATGAAATTACGAGTATAGGAAATTTTTCGTTTGTTTCCCTATGCATTGTTGTGAAGTTATCTAGCCTCGCTTTCAGCCAAACAAAAGTATGGATTCTTATGATGATTATCATGAATGGCTGATTAACGTCCAGCGGCAAATTATATGCATATTCTAGATGAAGGATTCTTATGAAACATACATGTAATGTAATTATGTATGAATAACTTCTCACCTTAAACATTACCAGTGGATTATCACCATAAAGAAAATCATTCATTCCGAGAACTTGAAGAATATAATTATTGCAGTCTTTAGTTTTCAGTCCTGATTTGCTTGACCATTTATCTACTGTCATTTTCACTAACTCATCTGGTGTGGACAATTTATTGACTCTCAATTTGTATGAAGTCTGAAAAATAAAATTACATTGTGTTTTTATCTATTGACAATTTTTCAGTGTTCTATAATATGTAATATTCAATATTAACTTGTGTTCATTCTTTTCATAAAGATCTTAAAGATGCCAATTTCCTTGGATGATGAACAACTGTATTATTCACTTTATATGCTATTGCATTATTCTAAACTAACCAAACCAATGTAGCACATTGACTTATATGACAAAATATGTGGTAAAATACATGATTGATCCTGATTTAATATGAACCCATATACCTTTCCACATTCCATGTTCATATATGTGATTCTTCCGTCGGGAGTCAAAATCTCCCGCTTTTTAGACCCTCTTCCGTCCCTCCCGTTAAAATTTGAAATCTTCGGCTTTTTGAAAATGTCAACCTCGAAAAATTTTCAGTTGTCATTTTTGTTTACAAATTTGTTACTGACAGAGAAAAAGTCTGAGAAACTCGAAATTGATATAAGAAAAGTCAGAGAAAACGGAAGTCACCATTTCCTGTTATTGTTTTTGACAATAGCCTCGAGTAATCAATGAAGGTGTTAAGGATTAGACTGTATATACAGCAATAAAAGATTATTGGCAATTACCTGGTGATCAACTAGCAAGTTTAAGACACACGCCTGGATGATTAAAAGTGAAATACTGACAATGGATTAAGTTGTATAAACAACGACTTTAATTTGATGCTGTTGAAAACATTGAACAGTTATATTACTGAACCTCAAAGACAAATGTCTTAATAAACTCAAATATGGTATTTATGCCTACCACACTTGTTGCAAAGCTGACTATGGTGACCCTAATGACTTAACCAAACATATGGAGACAGCTACCTACCAGAAAGCTCACAACTCTATCAATTCAACACCACTGTTCAGTAGTGGTACCAAAATTGACAATGTAGCTTAAGCAGAGATACTTTTTACCAACTATATATGATGGCTTATCACTTTATCTCGAATTATATATATAATAAATAGATATTTGAAAATCCCTTATCTTCTTTTTCTATTAAGTAAAAATGGCTATGGAGTTATACAATCATTAACAAAAAAGGAAAATATGCAGTTTAAACAACAAAAAAACATTGCGTTCGTCGATAAAAATGTCGATAAAAAATCTCCAGTTATGAGGCCCAAACTCCAGCTGAAAATTTCTAAATCTCCAGTTGTGGCTTGACAACTCTGTCACATGTCTGCATGTTAGGTAGCAATAAACAGTTAGGAAAAAATATTAAAATTTCCCCTCATAAATTTTACCATCCCCTTTTCATTGCCTTCTTGCAATATTAAGCTTACTGTTTGTGTCATATATGTGCATATGTATGTAATCAGAATCTTCCATAGATTTCATATCCAGTATATAAAATGGTAAAATATAATTTCTTTTTGTTGTATCCATGGCAACAATCTGCAATTTTTTGTTATAAAATATAGCAAAAAGGGGGGAAAAGATATCACATATTTCCCCAAAATTTGGCCAAAAGTAGAATTTCAATCACTTCAAGTAATACCTTTTCTGAAACTGTTTACATATATCTTTCAATTAATCCAATGAAAATCATATGTCTTTCGTCTCATCTTTTTGTAAAATTGCGTCAAAAACTTCGTGTAGAAAAAAAAGTGTTTGTAAACATTACATTAATTTCTGGACCGATGACCGGTCTAGCTGTGAAAATATGAGTCAAACAGAAAATAGCCCATAAAACATGTAAGAAATAATCTTGATGTTCTTATAAACCACCTTTGAAGGCTAAATTAGTACTCAGCTGTCTACCGTAAGACCACCTAGGCAATTTAAAATGATAGGAAATTCCCAATGCCATAAGATACTATCAATTTTCTAAAAGTTTGTTTAAAGTTCAATTTCAAGAGAGTGGATAATGTGAAAGTGTTACCATTTTTATTATGGTGAATAGAAGCGCCCTCTTTAAATGGCAACATTGACTTACCCCAGTTTCCTCTACAATCACAGTCAATACAATATGATTGATAACAATGTTCTCTACATCTGGTGGCAGGTCTCGGGTACTTCTTAGTCGACATGGATGCTTGTATTCAAAATAAACCAACCCCTGGTATATAAAAAAAAAAGAAATCAGTTACACTGTTTTCTGCTCAAATTTTGCTAAATACAGAACTACAGTTTAATTGATAGTGAACTGATTTTTAGAACAATATTGTTAAGTAGGGATGTCAACGAGTATGGGAATATAATTAACAAGACAAAGATAATGAGGTGGTGGGTTTAACGAGAATAAGGCAATGACCAACAAAGAGTCAAATGCATATTATTGTTTTACCACTTTGTAAAAATTTTCCTAGCGAGTACTGGAATATCGTTTGTTAAAACCAACAAGTACCCGATTGGTAATTCCGCACTGAGTTGACATCCCTTCTGTTAAAAAATTTCAAGTTGATATTTTAGTTGCTTTCAAAAAAATCCATTTAAAGCTGAACTGAGACAAAGACTTCTAATCTACATAGATTATTCTTTCTCAGTCATTGCTTTATTTGGAAAAAAGCATTCTGTGAGTATTGCATGGCAATACATAGTCCCCTACCGGGTAAAAATTCATTGTATTGGCATCCACAGTATTTGTTAAAAATTTTATGAGGACTGCCATCTGGAGAGTCAAAACTTGTACATCTTTTTTAGTATGTTATTAAAGGGAGATGACTCTGTAATTCTAACTTGATCTATAACTTGTCATGGTGGAAACTACATAAAAATATCAAGTCAAAATCTTCAAGCATGACGAAAAAAACTGTTGAAAACTGATTATTTAAGTGAATTTTCTATGTCCAAAGTCCACAACTCTGTACAAAATTATCAGACTGGAACAAAATTCCAACTTGATCTGTAACTTGTCATGATAAAACTATATACTAATTATCAAATCAATATTTTCAAGAATGACAAACAAACCTACCACTAAATTCTTCAAACAATTGACCAAAGAAAAGGAAGAAAATCCAAAATGTCTTTTTGTCTTTTAAAAATCTTTTAAAAAATGAGTTATTTCCTTTTGAACAGAAATCTACTAATAATATAAAGTATTTCATCAAAAATCTAATTCTAGGGAAAGGGCTTTAACTGAACAAAGAGAAAAGCTAAAATCGTGAAAATTGATCTTGACCTGTAAATTGTCATGATAAATCAATACACCAAATATCAAATCAATATCTTCAAGCACGAAGAAAAAAAGTCTGGAAAACTAATTTGCCAGACTGACAGATGGACAGACAGACAGACAGACAGACGGATGGAGTGCAAACCTTAAGTCCCCTTCGACTTCGTCGTTAGGGGACTAATAAGTTAAACTAGCAAGTACTTCTGGCTGACAAATTTCTGTTCTGCTGTTGTTTTATAAAATCATGATACAAGTGCTGTCCTTTAAATAAATTTAAATCGTCTATTGCCTTGGTCAAATTCAAAGAAGATCTGTGTGCCTTAAAAACATAACAAATGATCTATAATGGGTTAAGATGCATTTTTGTTACATTCTTGTGGATTCTTTATTTTTGTGGATATTAATTTTAGTTGATTGAAGAAAAATTGTATTTTCTTGGATATTTGATTTCGTGGTTTTGCAAAAAGTTGTATACAAGCCTGTTGTCAATAATTACTTTGTTGAACATTTAAATTTGTGGTTTCCCTGCACCCACGAAATCAACGAAAATTGGTATCTCATGAATATTAGTGAATCCACAGTAGTTGTGAAAAAAAATCAAGTTTTAATCAGGACTGCCATCTGGAGAGTGAAAACTTGTACATCTTTTTTAGTATGTCATCTCCCTTAACATACTAAAAAAGATGTACAAGTTTTCACTCTCCAGATGGCAGTCCTGATTAAAACTTGATTTTTTTTCACAACTACTGTGGATTCACTAATATTCATGAGATACCAATTTTCGTTGATTTCGTGGGTGCAGGGAAACCACAAATTTAAATGTTCAACAAAGTAATTATTGACTACAGGCTTGTATACAACTTTTTGCAAAACCACGAAATCAAATATCCAAGAAAATACAATTTTTCTTCAATCAACTAAAATTAATATCCACAAAAATAAAGAATCCACAGTAAAAAGTTTCAAATGTGATTTAACAGACTTACAGTTGGATCCTGATTGGCTTGCTTCAGTATATCGTTGTTACAATAAGTGGTCATTTTCTGTCTAAACTCAGATATTTCTGCCTTACTCACTGAATGCTGAGCTTGAATGTAGTTAGAACCTGTTAACAAATTAGATATGGTCAGTGGTTCAAAACAAGTAATGAACTCTGTAGCTAGGTATTAATTTATTTTTAACATACTTATCAAAATCCATTAAAGAGGAATTCTGCTTTTCTTTACACATACATTAATAAAACATTTAGGTAGATGATAACCTACAATGTCTTGCAAGCTAAAATAACCAAATTATTTTAATGGTAATGAGATGCTGTGATTGCTGCAGATGTGATGCAGTGAAGTGATAACACTCCTGACTTTACAACCTTGTCTTACACTAACTATAGAATACAGCAAGGCGGGTCAAGGATTTTTGAAAGGGGGCGTAATTTCAGACAATTTCTTTTTAAATATATACTGTGGGGCGGAGCGTTGCCTCAAAATTTTTCAATGATTTTATACAAAAAAACTTTATAAATCGTGAAAAACATAATTTTTTTTTGGCATACAAAAAGGGGGGGGGGGGATTTTCTGGTTTTGCTGTATAAATGTTTCATACCTTAAAAACTGTTTGACGGAAATTTCATTAGTTGAGGGATCATCAAAACAGAAAGTAGGCGTGACCTTTGTCAGATCCTTGAATGCAAAGCTTAGACACACGATCTGTGTTTTAATCAAATTCATCTAAGATTAAACCACAAAAAAATCCAGCAGCATTCAATGCTTAAAGCCTTGCTACAGGATATCAATTATTTATTTGTCATACTTTGCTCTAAATATTCTATTTTACATTTTTATACCAAGTACTTAACCTTAACTAATCAGCTTTCATACTAAAAATCCATAACGCCAGTAACTCAATTCCATCTTGTGTCAAAATTCTAATTGATGTGAACATTAATCTTATTCTTAAAAACAAGAATGAAAGGATGCTTCTTTTCCCTGAACATTTAAAAAAGGTAGATAATATTTCACTAATTTTTTTCAGAACTCACCAGACATTTTATTTTTTGAAACAGAACTTCTCAAAAGAGCTGTTCTTATCAGTGATGCTCAAACCAATTATATAAGCTATGAATGTTGAAGAGCAATAACACAAATAAAACAAAAAAGACAACACCAGCTAAAAACACCTGTGCATATGGAATATTACAACAGCTTACTGTAAATTCAGAATTATTGCAAGGTTTTTATTAATGCGAATAATGCAACTCCTTGAGTATTGCAATAATAAGAATTCACATTCTTGTATCTGATCCATATATCTATATGTAGTTTTTCCTAAATTCGCAATAATCAAACTCACATTTTTATTCATTCTTAAAAAATTGCAATAATAAATGCATGCAATAATTTCTGAATTTACAGTATATAGAACAATGATATACCTTTCATGCCAATCAAACTGTTAATCTGTCTGTCAATTGTTTTACGTTTGTCGTCAGCAGGTTTCTCCACTACTTTAAGGAAAGATGCAGCCAAGCGTAACTCCACTATCCCAACACTTTCATCCATAACATCCTCCTGTGAAAATACATTATAGAATTAAATACTGTTTTATTAAAGACAATTCTTACTGAGGATATATCTATGATAGTGACCAGTAATTCTATTGGTCTCATTTGTCTTTTTATTTCACAATAATTCAATCAAATGCAAAGACTTACTGGACGAATTAAGGTGGTACCTAACACTACAGGGAGATAACTCTGTAAAAATCAGCTAAACGTTTTAATCACGTTGTATTGTTAAGGAAATATTAAGCTTCTCATTGATCAAAATTAGTGTTTGTCAAACTGCTATATAACCAATGAAATTTTTCTGATAAAGTGGTTGGTTCAAATTTTTTGAAATTTTTATATTTTTGTCAAAGGGTTGAAGTAAACATTTTGTCAAAATTTTATGAAAATTAAACGAGCCAAATTAATATTAGTCAAGGTGTTTGGTACCACCTTAAATTACTAGAATAAACAAAATATCTAACAGATTTGTACACAGTAAATGTTGTGTCGAGCTGAGTAATTTACAAAACAGTATATACATTGTACTGTATATGGTTATGTATTTGTTCCAAGTTAGATGGCTTGCTAGTGGTTGTCTCCCTTTTTGTAGTCAAAATTGAAGCTTTATTTTTTATAACCTTCACTCTCATATTTAATAAAAGAATAGAGTTCCAATTTCCCCCGCGTTGCACATACTTTATCTATCCAAGGTGTAAGGGCAATAACTAAAAAAAACACTTTTTTTTTTCTTTTTTTTAAACTTTTTATAAATATCTTAGAGAAATGAAGGCTTCAGAGCAAACGCAATGCAATTTCCATTAAAATTAATTTTTCCAAGTGGCATATTAACACTTTTAAAAATAATTGGTTGGCATTGATTTTCGAATTTGTCCGAGAAATTGATGATATAAACCTATAACATAGTTTTTCATAAAAATCTGACAAGAATTGTACACATGAGATTATTACATGATAGTATTAAAAAGCCAGTGATTTGTAATTTTTTTAAATGACCATTTGAGCTTTGATTGTTGATACCTTGTGGTAATAGTAATTAAATACTAATTTGAAATTTTAACTAAAATAAGGGGCCATATTTGAACCTTATTGAACCAGGACTCCTTTCAAAAAAATTGACACTTTAAAAATGGACACCCTTTATGAACTCCCATCCTTTTCCAAAGCCACAAAAGCTAGAGATAAGTTTTATATCAATTAATTGAAAAGGTATACAGTAAATGAAAATCATGTAAAATTTTTTAGGATGAATCATTAGATTGAGAGTGATCTATCAAATAATACAGGATCAACAGTTCATATATATTACCTTTAGTCCTTCACTGCTAATGTAAAGAAAGCCATATTTGTCAAATGTTGCCAGCTGCTGGAACAGTGGGTAATTTGCAGCTTGTTTCCATAGTTCCTGAAAATATGTATTACCAGAGATTGATTAACTCCAAGTTGACATCACTATCTTGTATGGATATGTTATGATGTGTGCCACATGTGGAGCAGGAACTGCTTACCCTTCCAGAGCACCTGAGTTCGCACCCAGTTTTTGGTGGGGTTTGTGCTGCTCAATCTTAAGTTTTCTGTGTACGGTAATGCTTTGTTCTTGTTGTTTGTCTTTTCGTCCTTTCTCTTTTTCCCCAGTGTTATATTTATTGGACTATTGATACGAACACCGTTGGCTCCTTCTCTGTCTTTTTAACATATTTTTATTTTCTTATTTCAAATGAAAGTTGTTTGGAGAGTGATATATTTTCCTGTTCATTAAATTTTACTTACTGTTAGTTCAGAAATTATTTGTGGTGTTTTTATCAAGACAAAAAATGCGACAGGTTCATGTTGGCAATAATAAAAACTTGTATTCATAAATTCAGCAGTGAATTTTTTTTCACAAAATTTTTGGCATCGCATTAAATAGATCTCACATTTTTTACCAGTAATCAGTGATTAGGAATAATAAATGCACACATCAATTCAACTAGATTGTTATATCAAAGTGCATGTGATAATTTGTATTTGCTAAACAATATCAGTGGTACATATATATGTGTTTACTAGTGACTATGATAAACAAACAAATTACAGTTGTAGCTTTTTTACCTTGGGAGGGAGTTTTTCATGTACAAGAACTCTTCAGGCCTGCTTTATTTTCTAATATTTTTTCAAATAGTTTGCAATTAATTAAACACATTCAATATACAGTCATCTCTGTATTTTTGCTTTGGTTCTTTAGGTAAAAGAGCACCACAATGGGCATCAAAGACTGGGGTGTTTTGAAAGTTAAGTTTCCAAAATGAGATAGAAACTAGAGGCTCTAAAGAGCCTGTGTCGCTCACCTTGGTATATGTGCATATTAAACAAAGGACAAAGATGGATTCATGACAAAATTGTGTTTTGGTGATGGTGATGTGTTTGTAGATCTTACTTTACTGAACATTCTTGCTGCTTACAATTATCTCTATCTATAATGAACTTGGCCCAGTAGTTATAGTGGAAAATATTTTGTAAAAAGTTACAAAAATTTACAAAATTTATGAAAAAATTGTAAAAAATTGACTATAAAGGGCAATAACTCCTTAAGGGGTCAATTGACAATTTTGGTCATGTTGACTTATTTGTAGATCTTACTTTGCTGTACATTATTGCTGTTACAGTTTATCTCTATCTATAATAATATGCAAGATAATAACCAAAAACGACAAAATTTCATTAAAATTACCAATTCAGGGGCAGCAACCAAACAACGATTTGCCTGATTGGTCTGAAAATTTCAGGGCAGATAGATCTTGACCTGATAAACAATTTTACCCCCATGTCAGATTTGCTCTAAATGCTTTGGTTTCAGAGATATGAGCCAAAAACTGCATTTTACCCTATGTACTATTTTTTAGCCATGTCGGCCATCTTAGTTCGTGGGCGGGGTCATCGGACACATTTTTTAAACTATACACCCTAATGATGATTGTGGACAAGTTTGGTTAAATTTGTCTCAGTAGTTTCAGAGGAGAAGATTTTTGTAAAAGATTACAAAAATTTACGAAAAATGGTTAAAAATTGATGATAAAGGGCAATAACTCCTTAAGGGGTCAACTGACCATTTTGGTCATGTTGACTTAATTGTAGATCTTACTCTGCTGAACATTATTGCTGTTTACAGTTTATCTCTATCTATAATAATATTCAAGATAATAACCAAAAACGGCAAAATTTCCTTAAAATTACCAATTCAGGGGCAGCAACCCAACAACGGGTTGTCAGATTCATCTGAAAATTTCAGGGCAGATAGATCTTGACCTGATAAACAATTTTACCCCATGTTAGATTTGCTCTAAATGCTTTGGTTTCAGAGATATAAGCCAAAATCTACATTTTACCCCTATGTTCTATTTTTAGCCATGGCGGCCATCTTGGTTGGTTGACTGGATCTCCGGACACATTTTTTAAACTAGATACCCCAATGATGATTGTGACCAAGTTTGGTTAAATTTGACCCAGTAGTTTCAGAGGAGAAGATTTTTGTAAAAGTTTACGGACGACGGACGACGGACGCAAAGTGATGAGAAAAGCTCACTTGACCTTTCAGGTCAGGTGAGCTAAAAAGGTGCATCAAATCTTAAATGTTAACGTCTTCAGATTCCTACATACTTTTTAAGGTAAAATCTGACAAAAGTACTGTAAACAAACTTATTTTCACGGATACTTTATTTCAAGTTTAGCCCTTTTTAGCCGACTTCTCAGTGATTTATTTTTTCACAGTTTTCTAATTTCCTTGATGTTTTTATATAAGGGAAGACCCGAATGTAACATATTCGCCATAAATTATATTGGTGTTATTTTTCTACTAGCGAAACTCAAGAAAATTAGTTGGTTTACAGTATTACCTTTAAAATCATATAAAGTGATATAATTTCCTATTAAACAGTACCTGTTTTATTTGATCAAGTGGTCTATCTATGTCTACCTGTAATGGTACACATATACCATTAGGTAAGAGGAAGTCAATATCCAGCTGTCCAAGATCATTCTGGAAGGATGTGACATCCAGATCTGGGGACACTATCACAGGAGGCATGGCCACTTACAGCAATCTGAAAATAAAGAAGATTGATAAAAGACATCACTATGACTAACATAGGGTACTATCACAGGAGGCTGATGGCCACTTACAGCAGTCTGAAAATAAAGAAGGTTGATAAAAGACATTGCTTACATGACTCAGGGTAGTATCACAGGAGGCATGGCCATTTCATCAGTCTGAAAATATACTCATCATAGATACCAGAATTAATAAAATGCTTCGCTGGGCGCAGCTTGATACGACCGCAGAGGTCGAAGCCTGAACAGTTGGGGCAAGTATGGACACAACATTCAAGCTTGATACAGCACTGAATTTGGATTGTGATTAAATATTTGACACAGCATAGGTTTCTGACACAGAATGAATGTGGTCTAAGAATTTAAAATTTTTTAATTTTCCCTTTTCAAACCATATCATTATTATTTGCTTTTATATATAAATCAGAAATAACCAATTTAAAATGGAAAATTTTAAAGAAAAAAAAAAGGAAAAAAAGGAGAAAAAAAATCCCTCCCCCAAATTTTTTGAACCCCCTTATGATTCATTACCCCCAAACTCAATCCCAGCCTTTACTTTGTGGTATGGTACCTTGCAGTACAATTTCAGAGAGATCCATACACTTGAACACAAGTTATTGTCTGGAAACTAGAAAAATGCTTGTTTTTAGACCCCTTTTTGGCCCCAAATTCCTCAACCTTTAGGGCAATTACCCCAAAACTCAAACCAAGCTTTCCCTTTGTGATATGGAACCTTGTAGTACAATTTCATAAAGATCCATACACTTACACACAAGTTATTGTCCTGTAACTTGAAAAATGCTTGTTTTTTGCCCCTTTTTGTCCCCTAATTCCTAAAATTTTATGGCAATTACCCCCAAAATCAATCCCAGCCTTTCCTTTGTGGTATGGTACCTTGCAGTACAATTTCAGAGAGATCCATATACTTGAACACAAGTTATTGTCTGGAAACTAATAAAATGCTTATTTTTGGCCCCTTATTCCTAAACGTTATGGGCAATAATACCCTCAAACTCATTCCAGCTTTCCCTTTGTGATATGGAACGTTGTAGTACAATTTCAGAAAGATCCATACACTTACACACAAGTTATTGTCATGAAACTAGAAAAATGCTTGTTTTTTGCCCCTTTTTTGGCCCCTTATTGCTAAAATTTTGAGGCAATTACCCCCAAAATCAATCCCAACATTCCCCTTGTGATATGTCAGAGAGATCCATACACAATCACACAAGTTATGTCTGGAAGTTACAAAAATGCTTATTTTTGGCCCCTAATTCCTTAAGTGTTGGTACCATAACCCCCAAAATCAATCCCAACCTTCCTTTTGTGGTATTGAACCTTATGGTAAAATTTCATAGAGATCCATTCACTTAAACTAAAGTTAGAGTGCGAAAACCAATGTGCCTTCTGATGACAACGACAACGACGACAACGTCATACCAATATAGGTCCGCAAAATTTATAAAAAGTTTGCAAATGTAAAAAAAGCCTCCTTCTCACAGGCACACCCCAACATGAAAAAGTGTATGAAGTTGAATAGCATAGAGGATGCAAAAACAATAAAAAGCATCGCTTATAATAAAGTTGCTGTATCTGTATTATACAGCAAGACACGTTTGTTTCACTTTTCAAACCTCTGTTCATAACTCTCCAAGTTTTGACAAATTTAAGGGGGTGGTCATAAAAATGACTTTAAGTTCAACTGCTTGCCATTTGTGAAAAATTCAAATAAAATCTAAACCCTGACAATATTCACACTTTTATAAATATAAAAGTTCTGGCTTGAAAACTGTATGTGGAATGAGCCTAAGACAAACCATGTTCCCTTCATGCATAATTTCCCCTTAGGCTAAATAACAAAGGTCAAAAGCTCAGCAAAAAGCTATACAGAGTTTATGTTTGTAAATGTTCATGTAAACCCGACTTAAAATAAAATTCTATTCTTTTTCTATTCTATTAAGGTCAACATCCTGTTATTTGTGGAAATTAAAAAAAAAAAAACAATATCCTGATAATAACACACCCAAAAATAGCATGCTTAGTATATGTACAAACACCCTGCAATTTAGGTTTAAGCTTAAAATTTGTAGGAGGAGTTAGCTGGAAAAACCATGTACCCGATGTTGCCCTGACATTTCATGCAGAAGGCATAAAAATGTAGATGCACAATGGTATTTTGTAAGACACAGTATGTTATAGTATATAATAATTTAATATGGAAAATCCCAAAAATTCAAAAAAGATGTGCATGATGGCAATTTATTTGTAAGAAAAATTCTGTAAAGGTTGCAATTTAATCCAATTGACTGTACAGTGACCTATAATTGATTGTATCTTCATCAGTAGAACTCTGGTGGATAGTTATCCCATTGGTAATATGATACCACATTTCTTTATTTTTATAAACATAGAACTGAGGACACAAGATGAACTAGCTACCAACTTATTTGTAAATCTGGTTTAGCCTATGTCTTGCTTTAGTATTTCATATCTTAAAGCTTATATTATAAACTTTGGTTAAGTGACAAATGAAGACAATAATATATCGATCATTCTATGTTTATATATATATATATATATACAGCAAAAGAGTTACAGTACACATGTTACATAGACTCATACCCAGTGGGACATATATACCACCTCAGTGGTCTTGTAGTTAAGCATGCCCTCCTGGAATGTGGGAGGTCGTTGGTTTGACCCAGATAAGTCAAACAAAGATTTGAAAATTGGTATTTGCTGCTTTTAGGAATGAGCAAAGACTGGTTGGCTAGGAGTCAGAATAATGTGTCCTGGTAGCCTCAGTGAGGGCGGTGAACATGTCTTCCTTTTCGGATGTTACCTAGCCAAATAGCTGCTTGTTAAAAATCCTAATCAGCGTATTGGCCTTATACAAAACAGGGTTCATATTAATCACAATTATTATGTTCTTGTCCTGAATATGCATCGTTTAATATGCAGAGTTAAAATTACACAGTGTATTCCCAATAGAATAAAATTTATAGTAGTAATTTCTATATTATTTTGTAATGCCTTTTAAGTTCATTATCAATTTAAAAAACTACATTATATGTTCCACTGTGATAATGATGATGTGGGACATATATACCTGCTTTTGCAGTATTGGGAATACATTCGTTGTGTAATTTATACTCAGGTTTCCCCAATTATTGCATAGGCTAGTCAACACATGCATGTAAAGTCACGGGGCCCTAAATAAGTATACATATCCCTTCAATGAGATATATGACTCCAGTGATGTATCACTTTTGAAATTCTATGTTTAAACAAAAATATATTTTGAATGTTCTGATAGACAGTATGTGTTCTCCTTTTGTGAATTTTAGGATTCATGGATATACTGTGATGCTGTATTTTTCAACAGATCATGTCATAAAGCATATATTACCTCAGAATTTCTTGCTTGGTTTGTTTTAATAAGGAAAGTAAAGAAGTCTACTAACGTACCACAATTAACACAATGAAGCTTGACTTTTGTTTCCGTGATGGTATGTCATGTATGTAGTCTACAGAGAAACAGACTGTATAAAGTTTACTAACTTTTTAACCGTTTTCTGAAGTTATTTACAAAAGAATTATAATGTGTTGAATACTTTAAACTGAAAGTTCTTATTCATAAGAAGTAAACCTGAAATTCATGAAGGCTGTCATCTACATTTAACCAACCAGACAATACATTTAACTGTACATATTTGTCAACAAGGATGCTATATTTCGGATGAGGAAGTAAGACCGAATTACACAAATTGTCACGAAAAATAGGTCACTTTTTATTATTTGTAATTTTATAAAAGCAAATATATATTAAAAGAAGTACGACAATGCATATATGAATCGTGAACATGAAGATTATTTCTTTCATAATTTCTAATGACTTTTCACAAAACGTAAAATGAAATTTTTTTTTTTTACAAAGCATCTAAGGGAGGTAAGTAGAAAAACAATAGCTAAAAACGCGGGAGTTTCGATGTAATAATGTATGAGCCCTGAAACTATTATACTATAAACTATATTTTAATATGTCCCAGATGAGCCATACAAGAGGGTCTTCATTGCTTTATTGTTTAATGTTTAGATCATTTTCTCTATCTTTATATTTTTGCCCAATATTCTCTTTTCTTTATATTTTAGCACCCTATTATTCTCTGTTCTTTTTGTACTACATTCAGGGCCCGGTTGTGTGAAGGCATGTAGGTAATTGCCTCCTATTGCTAGCCGACCAAAAAAATAATAGTAAAAAAAATGATATTATTTGAGAGTTCTTATCTTGACACTGTATGCCTGTCATGACACCGTTTTAACATCTATCGTGCTCCGTGACCTCTTAAACATGCCACGGCGTGCACGTCAAACCCCATTCACACATTTACAGAGAATCCTGATTTGTATATCAAGTTATTTAATCTTCTGTACGCCGAAGACACAATTATTTTTGCGGAGTCGACAGAAGGGTTACAAAAGGCTGTTGATGTGTTTGAGCAATATTGTTTTGAGTGGAAACTCACTGTTAATGTATCAAAAACAAAGATAGTGATTTTTTCAAAGAGAAAGTTTAATAAGAATGTTACTTTTAAACTATGTAATGAAATTATTGAAATTAAAGATTCATATGTTTATCTTGGTCTGCTGTTTAATTACAATGGAAATTTCTTTCAAGCTCGGAAAAAATTGGTAGACCAATCTCAAAAAGCACTTAATGCTCCAGTTTACAAGAAGATACAAAATATCTCACTTCCGATTGATTTACAGTTGAAATTATTTGATGCATTGGTGGTTCCTATTTTGACCTATTCCTCGGAAATATGGTGTATGGGGAACTTGGAAGATTTCCACTTGAACTGCATATCAAGTTAAAAATGGTATGTTTTTGGCACAAGCTAGCAACAAATGATAAAAAACTATCGGGTAAACTGTATAAGTTACTTTGGTACATGCATGAGCATGAAGATTATAATTTCAAGTGGTTTAATTATGTAAAATCTGTGTTTAATGATTGTGGCTTTTGTGAACTAAATAATATTCCGGGGCAAGTTGATTATAATTATAATATTAAAAGTAATGTAAGGCAGCGTCTCCAAGACGAGTTTATTCAAAAATGGTTCTCTGATATAAACAACTCATCAAGGGGGGGGGGGGGGGGGGGGGGGTGTTATTTACACTTTAAAGAAGAGTTTTGCTTAGAACCATATCTGTTAAAATTAAGACGGGGTCATAGAGTAAATACATGTAAATTAAGTGTATGTGATACAAAGCTTCCCATCGAAACAGGAAGATGGAGAAATGTACCGCGAAATGAGAGAATTTTGGGGATGTATACCACTATATATGTAAATGTACCAATTGTCAAGTTAAGGATTTAAGGGGGAAGTTCATACCTCCATATTATTTAAAATATCTAAATGTAAAAAAAGTGCTAGGCATGCTTAAATATTGTAATAGTAATGTGCTGTCTAAGCTGTCAATTCTTAATCAAAAGATATATAGAAAAGATGCTTGTCTAATTTAATACTGTAATAAACAAAGACTTAATTCTGAAGATGTATAATTCAACAATGTATACTTTTTGTATTATGAACTATGTTGTAATTAATATTGTGTATAATATGCTCCTGTTACGCAGTCTTCTGCGGCTGAGTTTTCTTTAATAAACTATGAAAACTATGGAACACATTTTATTCATCATGCTTCCAAAAAATTGTCTTTGCATTCGTCTTTACAATCCACAAAAAAAAAACTTATCACTTGGCATTTCGATTTCAGTATAACAAAACTTAATACAGATTGAAAGCAGAGGCGGATTAAAAGGGTTTTCCAGGGGGCCGTCCCCTCCCTTTTGTTGGAAAAATTTGGTTGATTATTTAGGGAATTACTGGAGCATGACTGGAGCGGGGTCCCTCTTAGGCAGTCAGTGCCCCCCTCCCCCTTATGAAAATTTCTGGATCCGCCACTGGAAAGCTGGACCAGGGACACACATACACATATATGTCCGTCTGGCTTGGACTTGTCAAGATGAGAATTTTTCAATACTTTTGTTTGGCATTGCGAAGTAAAACATTTTTTGTACCCTGTCGGTTGTACTGCCTAAATCTTGCCCTTAACTGTCAGCATAATTCGGGTGGCAATTCTAGGTACAATCACGATTACCAGGTCATCAATGCGTCAAGTAAGCGTAGAAATATTAGGGAACCTGTTATGAAAGATAAATGCCAAGTTGCCGTTGAATTTAAGTTGATACAAAAATAAGAAGATGTGGTATGATTGCAATGTTATGAAGTTCAAAACCAAACCACTATCGACAAGTCAGATACTTATTAAGGCGAAGTACACATCATTGGATGATATTTCGGATTTTGACGAAATGTGGTATGTAATTAAAACCTGTTGAACTGCATTTGAATATTGAACAAATGGTACATGTTATAGATATTTCATATCTTTTGGCCAATTTTGCGGTGTTTCGTAAATTTTACCATAGTTTTTGGTGAATCAATTCCGTCAACATAATTTGTTTTAAACTATATGTTATCCCTGTGAACATATTCGGTTTAATGATATGAAAATATCAGGGGTCACCAGATCGTTTTTGCAATCTTTTAAAATCATTTTAAAGTTTGAGAGATGTATGAAAAAATATGATAGATTACGATATTGCAGCATGGCGTTAAGCTTATTTTATTTTTCGACGCTTTTGTTAATTTTTTTACCGAGACTTAATTGATTTTTGACTGAACTTGAAAACGAATCCGTGTAATCAGTGGCTGGAATTTCGAGAAATTCAAGGTGCATACAACGTATTTTATCAGTGCTTTTTTACATTCATTCTATACATTTATAGATCCTTTCCAGATTGTTTTATTTGATATTATCTCTAAAAAATATACACATTTCACTTTTTAGATATTCAGACGCAGTTCAATGAGTTCCAAATACATTCAAAATTTAATATAAAAAAGTTCTTACTTGGGTAAGACCGCTGTCTATAGAACTTGAATCTGAAAACTGTGACCTTGTGAAGATTTATATCCATGTTCGAACACTAGGTAAATTATTTCTCCAGAAAAGTGAAATTAGAGCAAGTTAATAAGAACTAAATTATGACGTTGACACATGATGGTAATAAACTAACAATGTTCAAATATCTTCACTAAACTTTAAAAGCTAAATATTAGAATGTGAATTTGGTATAGTAAATGAAATTATCAGTGATGTAGAATGCAGTTTCAATCATGACGTTTAACATTTTTTTTTTTTTTTTTAAACCAAGTCAAAATATCTCCAAGGCAAGCAAGATAAAACATAAACATTTCTCATCATCTGGGGGTCTGTAAGTTCCCAAGACCCCTGCATATTCTAATGCCTCCTATTATACAAGTCTAATTAACAGCCCTGTATTTATTCAGCACTTTTTGACCATCATTATCTATTCTCGGTACACCCCCTCCAGACCCTCGTTTAATAATTCTTTATTTTCAAAAGACTGAAACACAGTCAACAGGACAAATGCAAAACGGAGAAAAAGGACAGCAGATAATGAAATAATACAAATAGATAAACCGGGTTTGTACTAACATGAGCAACACGACGGGTGCCACATGTGGAGCAGGATCTGCTTACCCTTCCGGAGCTCCTGAGATCACCCCGAGTTTTTGGTGGGGTTCGTGTTGCTCAGTCTTTAGTTTTCTGCGTTGTGTTTTGTGTGCTGTTGTTTGTCTGTTTGTCTCTTTTCTTTTTGGCCATGGCGTTGTCGGTTTGTTTTCGACTTATGAGTTTGAATGTCCCTTCGGTATCTTTCGCTTCTCTTTTCTAGATACATACAAACCGTCAAATATTTTTACAGTAAGATCTTACTATACAAATTTTTGATACAAACTATCTACCTGGCTAACTAACTATCTTTTTCGGGATATAATCCAGTACTAAAGGATTAACACTGAAATACACATCATAGTAACTTTTAAAATAACAATCATTTTGAGACATAACAAACACATGAAACACATCGCAAGTATGATCTCTCACGCCTTTAATTCCCAATAACGAATTTCTGTTTGGGTACATCTAGATTAAGAATACAAGAAAACGCCTATAGATCAAGGATTTTTATAGTATTCCATTATATAAATCCTTGGACAGATAAAATAAGATTTTTTAAGATAAGATACTTTTTTTCGAATTAAATTGGGGCTGATTACGAGAAAATTAATTTGCTCCAAATATCTTATCAACTGTAAAACACAAATGATAATCATATATATGTTATTCTGGATCTTCACAGGAATATGGGCACATACTTTCGACCATAAATCATTCACTAACTATAGGTATAAAAGGCGTAAGCAAATTAATGAAACTTTTATTTTTGTATTGAAAGAAATATATATGCCCTCTCCAGCGACTGCACTGTTCTACTATTGGATTCGCTCAGAAAATTGTATTGGAATACGATTAAATTATATCATATAAAAATAAGGAGATATGGTATGATTGCCAATGAGTCAACTTTCCATCGGAGATCAAAAATGACGTAGAAGTTAAAGCAACTATATATGAAAATAAGAAGATATGGTATGATTGCCAATGAGACAACTCTCCACAAGAGACCAAATGACGCAGAAATAAACAACTAAAGGTCACTGTACGCCATTAAACAAGGAGCAAAACTCATACCGCACAGTAAGCTATAAACGGCCCAAAATGACAAAAGTAAAACAATTCAAA